ATAGAGGGGCTCTCTGTAGTGATCTTCATTGTTCAGAGGGCTGTCTATATGTATCAATCACACTGTATAGAGGGACTATCTATGTTAGAATCATAGAATCATAGTATCTTACAGCACAGAAGGAGGCCATTTGGCCCATCATGCCCATGCTGGTTCTTTGAAAGAGCTATCCAACTAGTCCTACTCCCCGCCCTTACCCCATAGCCCTGAAAATGTTTCCTATTCAAGTACCTGTCCAATTCCCTTTTGAAAACTGCTATAAAATCTGCTTCCACCACCGTTTCAGGCTGTGCATTCCAGATCATAACAAATTTCTGGGTAAAAAAACCTCTCATCTTCCCCCTGGTTCTTTTGCCAATTATTGCGTTATATTAATTCACTCGATAGCAGGCTGTCCATATTAATTCACTGTGTTTATTAACTCACTGTATATAGTGATTGTATAAAGGTACGATCTATGGTAAATGACTGTATAAAAGGTCTGTCTATACTGAATAACACTGTATAAAGAGTCTAACTTTAATTAACTGCAGTGTTCAAAGGTACTGCTCCTGGTGAATTACACTGTACAAAGATCTTTTCTGCAGTGAATCACAGTGTAGTCATTCGCTCTCTATTAAGGATTTTGTATCATGTGCCACACAGTAACATACTGGGGTTCAGTGAGCACTAACTTGTAGCAGGCTTCCCCAAATAAAAAACAGGGGCTCTTACATTGACTGGAAGTACACAATGCCATGATTGATGTCTGGCGAGCCGTTCCAGCAGGATGATTGGTACTCCTACAGGATTTCTTATTGAGGGATTTGGTAAAGAAATACCATGAATTAGCCCATGCTAATTAGCTCTGATTGTCTAATGTAGCTCTGTTCACTGCTCCAATCTTCCTCGATAAGTACACAACTGTTATACACTGACACAAAGCCACGGAAAATTACAGCACAAAAGGCCATTCAGCCCATCGTCTCTCTGCTCGCTCTTTCAAGAGCAATCCTTTCAGTCCCATTTACCTCCCTTTTCTCCCTTTCTCCATATACAGTGTTTGTGTGTATGTATGTGTGTGTGGAGGGGCGTGGGGGGTTGGGGGGTGGTTTCAAGGAAACGATAGAAGAAAAGTAAATGAAAAACAAAGATCTCAGTCTTTCTCTCACAAACCAAAGTGAACATTTACACTGCAAGATTTCTTTGGAATATTTGACCTAATTCTTTGAACCAAAGGAGAGCTGCCATTATATGAGAAGCATATTTGATAAACCGAAATAGATGCCCTGAAATTCCATCTAGTCTCAGTCTCATAGGCCATTTATTCATGAAATTTGGAGCAGGATTGTGGAAAATGGTTAAATTTTGATCTTAATTTGGAAGCCGCTTTTTGCACAGTTCTTAAAATGAATTAAATTTATCGATTTTTAGGAATTTAGGACTGAATTTGGGAATTTTAATAATAATAATCAATAATCCTTGTATTTGGTATAGCACCTTTCACATCAGGATGATATCCCGAAGCACTTCACAGGATTTTACTGTGAAATTTAGTGACTGTGAAGTGATGGGCCAAACTGCCTCCTTTTGTACTGTCTAATTCTATGACTGTGTATTTTGTGGGCGAAACGCAGCTGCAACAACCCACAAACAGCCATGGAATGAGTGACCAATTTTACTTGGGGGATTTTTGGCAAGGACACCGGGAGAAACTCCCTTCTCTTTTTGAATAGTACTATGGGATCTTTAACGTCCACCTCAAAAGGCAGACAGGACCTCGGTTTAACAGAGGACATTAAATTGTTTTCCACAATTCTACACATTATTAAATTTCAAGACTAAAGGATCTTATATTATAAGACTAGGTACAATTTTGGACCTGAGTGAATAGCATGTTGTCTCAAGCTTCCTCCCCACGGACTTTACCCTCCACCTGTTCCTAGTTTAAGTCATCACCACGCTGCATATATTTACGATTTACATTAGAAGATCTGCCGTCACTGGCTTTTAGACAACAAAGGTGCTCTTTATTCTCTCCATCTTAAAGTCTTTTCTTTTCCTTTGAAAGCGGAAACTCAAACGTTGGGCAAACCAAGCTACAAAAATAAAGCTTCAACTGTACCTGCAACTGGAATAGAAAAGGCAATTCTACAGTACCAACACCACACTGTACGACCCAAACTCAAAGCGAAGGAACAAATTGAAAAATACGAACCTTTGCTCTTGCAAGATCTTCCCACCTGTAATAACAAATCTCTGATACTCAGTAAAGAAAGAAATGCACGCAGATACCTTGAAGTTACCCATGCAAACTTCTCCTGATAGAAAGCTTTAATGCTTTTAGACTAAACCAACAATCCATTGGTAGCATCAGAGGAAACAGTGCTCATTGCACAGACTGGCTAATATATTGCTACATCTAAAAAATAAACTGCTTTGTCCAGTGATGGCTTTCGTTTCCCTATCGAGAAGCAGAAAATGAAGCAGACAGGTGCACAAGCAGCAGGAAAGGTAAGAGCACTTCGAGTTCCGAACTAGTTTCCATTTAAGTTCATCAACTAAGCCAGAGCTTCTGCACTGAACTCATTGCCATTCATTCTCACTGAACCTCCCCTGTGGTTCAGTCACACATAGAGCTCGCCCTCCCATTCTGCATGGCTAGAAAAGCGATTCTCTGCACAAAAGGTTAGTTTTCGATAGAACTAACGTCTGGGTTCCCAGAATTGACTGCCGGCCTCATGCGAGGGGTAAGATTCCACCTGTTCACCTAGCATTTCCGAGGTTCCAAAATTTGGCACATTATTAAATGTAGCTTTTAATTTTGAAGTTCGTTAAATTCTGGTGTTGACACCTTGCCAGGTCCTGGAAGCTCTGAAATATCAGGTTAATAGGATAAATCGGGCACCCGAGTGGAATTCTAACCCCCATCCTGTCCTGTCCATCGGCTGAAATGTTCCCAACAGCTGGATTCAAGGTGTGTGTGAGGCTCTACCCTGGCTGTGTCCCTTGCTGATCGGACATCACAGACAGTGGGGTCTGGGTTTGAGAGGGTTGCAAAAAAGGAATTGCAACTAAGTGGGTGCTGCAGGCTATAACCAGCAGATTTCTGTTCTGACGTCGGAACATGGACAAGGGTGGCTTCAGGCACATGGCTGGAGATTGGTATTGATCTGCGAATGACAAACCAGTGGTTTGTCCTGTGACATAATTAGTACTGGCAGGACCTAGGACTTACAAATACTTCACAACCCCTGCAAGGCTAATCCCCAAAAATCTACCATGTTAGATCAACATGTTAGATACAGGTTGACGCACACACCTGCGTCAAACCATTGAAAATATCTGAGTCCTTGGACAAGGTGCCTTTGAGTAAAATTTCTGCTCGGCCTTACGCACTTGGGATGGGATGATTCCATCAGTGGCACACATCACCTTCGGCACCTCACCAAATGCTGGACAGAATGTCTACCCGCTCCTGAGGCTGGTGAGTGAAGGAGGGATGGAAGAGAAGGCGAGAGAGATTCCAGGAAGCACTTCTGCTCAAGATAAGATTTTGTGGAAAGAACGTTCCCGAGCCTCAAAGCCGGTTGAGGGAATGGGCCAGGATGTTGTCTCTTGGGACATTCTACTGTCTGTGTCTATGGGACCAGGTAAACAAGGAGAGGAGTGGATTGTCCTGGTCCTGACACTCCTCAGGACTGTTGTCCACCCAGAACCCCGTGGATTGTTGTAGCTCTGACATTGTGTGCCACATTTAGGAGCCCACAACGCCCCTATGGTGAAGTGGATGATGCTGGTCAGTTCACAATATCATAAGGTTGGTTTTGGAACAAGGTTCGGCCTTTCCGATCTCATCCCACCACCACCACCACTGCCGCCACCGACCACCCTCCCATCCCAGAGTTGAGCTGCATTTTAACTGAGTCCAGCATCCTGGCCTCTTTGACCCTTTGTTGGCACCACCGCATTGTGTGCTTTTTTTTAGCGACACGACAAGACGTTGTACAAAACGCTACCACTCTGTGCGCGGACGATTTCAAACAAAGCCACAGGATTTGCACGAAAAACCCCTTCAGTTTTCTTTTTCATTCCGATTGATACGACCAAAATTTTCCAAACAGAGCCGGGTGGACTCTTCCTCTCTCTCTTTCTCTCTCTCTCTCTCTCTCTCTCTGGTCCTCTCCCCTCCTCCCTCTTTCTCTTCCCTCCTCCTGTGTGTATTATCGTCTGTCGTTCTCTCCAGACAAGTACAAGTGAGTGTTCAGCTAGGTTACTGGCACGTTTAAAAAACAATATTCAAAATATACAGAATATGTAACCAAATCGAAAGGAAATATTTGCAATAGGCAAGTCCGCGAGTGAGCGACCCTGCCTGGCCACGGTGCCTTCAGAAACCCTCTCTCCTCCAGTTTCTTCCTGTTGTGGACGGGATCGCTCCTTATCTGGACACACCAAGCACCCAATGTAGTCATTGTCTGAACTCACAACACCGTTTTCACTGCCTTCACCACGGACTCCTTGTTGTTGTTGTTGTTGTTGTTGTTGCTGTTTGTTGTTCTTTTTCTCCCCCAAAAGATTCTCAGTGACTCTTGGATGAGATAACCTTCATCAACAGAGTTTCAAACACACAAACTACCTTACCTTCACCGCCACCCCCTCCACTCCTCCTCGGACTCTCCCCTTCCTCTTCCACTAACCTGGACAGGATCCCAAATAATCTTCACCCCTCTCACAGCTCCCCGTTCTTCCCTTCCGCCCATTCCCCCCTCGCCCCATTCCACTACCCCGATAAGAAACCAAATTCTGTCCCCAGTCGCCTTAGTTTCATTACAAAAAAAAGACCCGTAAGGCAAGAACAGCTCAGTAGGGACTGACAAAGACACAGAAGGAAGGGGCAGCTTGCTCTGCGATGGGGGAACAGTTTGTGTGCTGTGCAGTCAAAGTCAAAGTGGGGGGGCGGGGGGGGTGGAGGAGGGGGTGGTGGGGGGTGGGTGGGGGCTGGGATCCCATCTCTGCTCTGTAAGTGTGGAATTGGTTGGCAAAGTTGTGCCCTTGTTTCAAAGAGATCTGAGTCCTTGTTTTTTTTGGTGTGTTGGGGTGGGGGTCGGGGTGGGACGTGGGGGATGATGGCGAGGTGTCGGCGAGGGCAGGATAGATCGCGCCCGGCTTTAGAACCCCTTTATGTGGCAATAGGCCTCCAGGCCCGAGAAGAGAATGTACAGTAGCCAGAGCCCGCCGAACAGAGTGACGGTGGCCATCCGGGGTCCACGGGGACCCCCCAGCTCCCCGCCGATGTGCGGCCGCCGCCGGTACAGCAGGGCGCTGATGCCGATGAAGGCGAAGATGGTGAAGAGGGTGACAGAGAAGGCCAGCGTGCCCGCGTCCACCCGGAATTCACGGCCCTGTGCCGCCCAATAGATGGCGGCCACGGACCACGCCAGCCCGATCCCCAGGAAGACGTTGACCGCGTTGCTGCCCGTCACGTTCCCAATCGAGGCGTCGGCGTACTGGTCCTGAGCCGCAGCAACTTTGCTGGCGAAGGTGTCTGCGGGGAATAACAAAAGAAGAACGAGTAAGATCAGGAGACCGGGTGGGGGGGGAAAAAAAATCCCCACCACTGAACCCTGCCCGTCCCCTGCTGACCCCATCCCCCTGATCACTAGACGTGGGGATGGGTGGGTTGGTGGGGTGGGGAGACTGGCTTCACAAGGGTCCCCTCCGAGATGCTACCCAGCGGGAAGGGCACTATGTAACGCAAGTTGTTGTCGGCATCGTACACCTTTCACCACAAGCCACCCACCGTCACCCACCCACACACCTCCCCCACCTCCACCCGCATCCACATCCACACCCACACCCCATCCACATCCACACCCACACACTCCCACCCACAACCACACACCCACACACACTCCCACCCCCACCCCCACCTACACTCCCACCCCTACCCACACCCACACCGCCACCGGCCGCTGCCGTTCACCGACCTGGTACCGAGGTGCCGAGAGCTACGAAGACCACGGCGGTGACGGAATCCTTCAGGCCGATGGTGCAGCCAAAGTGCGAGGCCAGGTCACCGATGATGGCGGTGAGAACCCCCAGGATGACGATGGAGATCAGGAAGCAGGCCCAGCCATTCCAGTACTCGGTGGGCGGCACGCAGGCGAACAGAACCTTCCAGAACACCGTCAGGAAGTGCATGACATAGTCAAAGCACGAGGGCAGCCTCTCCTCTCCCGTGTCCTCATCCTCCTCGTCGCCTGTGTAGGGTGGGGGGGAGGGGGGCAGATGGTAGAGGGGGAGCAGATTGAGTGGGGGGCAGATGGGAGGGGGTACAGTGTAGATGGAGCCGTGGTTAGCCAGTGGGAGAGCATCACAGCACCAAGCGAGGGCTACAGCATTGAGCAGAGTATACTACGAGAGACACAGCGATACACGGTGAATATTCTGACTGTAGAGTTAATGCTAACACAGACTTTTTCATCTCTCTGACTGTAGTGGATCTTTTCCGGGCAGCCTGCAGCTGGGTGTTTGTTTGCAGCAAAGAAATACAGTCTGAATATAACAGTGAGCATCTCTGGTGTATTATAGATTTCTGGAAGTTGGTGTAATTTTTTTTTAAAAAAAAGTCAGGGTTCTATTATAATATTTTTATAATAAATAACTAATTAATAAATTTTCTGATAAATAAATAAATAATAAATAAATAACTCCACACGCCTGATTATAATCCCTCAAAAAAAATTGGTCATTTCAATCCATGTTTATGGGACACTGCTGTGCGCAATTGGCTGCCGCGTTTCGCCTACAAATATACAGTCAATTCATTTTGCAGTCTATTCTGTAAAGCATTTTGAGACGTTCAGAAGATGTGAAAATCGCTATATCAAATGCAAGGATTATTATTATTATTATTATTATACAAACGTAGTAAGATTCTACCCAGGCAATGTCACGTAAAACCCGTTTGTGAACCTGCTACCCGTATCTTTTCTTTAATACAATACAAATTTACATTTAAATAGCCCCTTTCATATCAGCTTAAAAATCGTGGCTTGGCACCTGAGCTAGGGGTGGGAGCTGAAGGGGTGTGGGGAAGGGGAGAGATGCTTGAAAGCGCAGTCAGAGAGGTAGGTATTGAGACAGACCGTGAACCGGCTGAGGGTGAAAGCGAGGGTGGAAGGGAGTCAGGGGTAGGTGAACAGAGAGTGGGGCAGATAGGCTGAAAGCCCGATACGTGGTAATTTTGGTTCAGCGGTTGGAGCAGTAACGCTCGAGACATTGCTCCCTCAAGGACACTATAGAATTGGGAGCTTCTGGCAGCACCAAGGGAACAAACACAGCATCGTTTTTAAAGGTTAGATGAGGAATAGGATACGTCAGGGGCCTGTGTCTTTAATTCAGTTCTCAGCGCAGCACGTATTGAAGGTCACCACCAGCCGGGCAGCTTTCGTCCTCGTCTCTAAAGGCAGTGTGGTGTGGGGCTGGGAGAGGTGAGCAGTCCTCGCCCTGTGTCACTGAGCTTTTGTGAGTTGTTATCGGTCTCCAGGCATTCACTGTGGCCGCTTGCTTCCATGGTAACATCATTCAAGGGGTTTAATCGTTCCACGTTCCACCATTGTTCAAACGACAAGGGGCCAGGAACCCACATAGGTTTCAACCACGGTGGAAACAAATTAAAACTCACTCAAGCACAGAGCAGCTACCCAGACTGAGTTCAAATTAGCTTCAAGTCAAAAAAGCAAATAGATAATTAACCAATCATCAGAAAAAATAATTCCATTTTGCAAGAAGGACCATAATTCAAAGTTCATTCTATTAAAAAAAATCTCCATTTGAGTGATGGAGAACAAAGGGTCTTTGTCTGGAGATTATCCGTCACCTTGTACCACCTTCACATTTTCAGTTGCAGGATTTTTATATTTGTTTTCTAATTTCGTCAATTCTAATGGCTCAAACGAGTGTTGGTGAGGCGGTGTGAGTGGGGAGCGGTGCGAAGGGGGAGGCCTGGGTAGGGGAAATGGTATGAAGGGGCGAGGCTGGACAGATTCTATTACAACAACTTGCATTTATATGCCTCAGCGCACTGAGGTGAAGTGGTGAAGTGGTGAAGCCTGACGCTGAGCTGGGGAAGGAAGTGACCATAAACACGATGGAAGAGGAAGGTCTTCAATCATCATCTAAAAGAGAGGAAGGAGGGGGCAAGGCAGAGGGATTGAGGGAGAGAGTTCCAAAGCTTCCGATGGTGGAGCGGAGGGGATGAGGGACAAGCAGGATACCTGAACTAAACGTCCCGTTGTTCTTCAATGAAGTATTGTAGTTGCTGTGAGTTTATTGGCAAGCTTCTGCCAGTATTGTTCAGAGACTTGCCAGATAGTCACTGAACAAAGATCAAATGCAACACTTCATCCTGCCAGAAAGAGCACAGGCAGCATTCTTGCCAAGCAGAGCAGCTGTTGTGCTACAAGCCTTGCTACTCTGCTGTTGAACTTCACACTCGGCGAAAGACATTATCGCAGATAGCAAGGTATACTGATGACAACCCTGTTTGATAATGAAATAAATCTTGCCCTGATTTGTTTGGAAACCAAATGTAAGATGATGGAGCAGTAATCAACAATGCTTTTCCTGTGTCACCCTAGTAATCCTTTTAAGATACAATACAATGTTGGAATTCATTACATGGGTGGATATGGCAAAAGGCCAGGGAATTTAGAACAGTAGCACTAATCCTTGTATTTATTCCAGCAGCTTTCACGTCGAGTGGACATCTCAAAGTATTGACACTAAAGTATAGTGACTACAATTTGTGTCTGGTCTGGTGTGAGAGATGTGGATAGGGGACAGTAAAGCATACAGAGGAAGAGGTACAGCACTTTAAGAAATAATAATCATCATAATCCTCGTATTTGGTGCAGCGACTATAAATGTCAGAATGTCTCAAAGAATTTCAGAGGGAATTCACTGTAAAGTGTAGTTATTCGTGTATCCTGGGCATAACGTATTACTGTGTATTTGTAGATGAATTAATTGATTTGGTTAATCACACGTGGAACCTATTCATTTGATTTTGTAAATATGTAACATCCTCATTGGAACTCCACTGATTTGAGACATCTTCTTTCTGAATACTTTTCTCTTCAGCCTCGGCCTGGCGCCAAAGCTGTGCCATTGTTAAGCGCTCCGAGATGCTACCCCGTGTGAAGGGTGTTTTGCAAATGCAAGTTGTTGTTGATGATATCTGGATAAGTCATCAATGATCCTGATGAATAATAGGAGGGGACTGACGCTTCTTCACCAATGTCAAAAAGGTAAAAATGTCCAGTTGACCGTTTCAGAAATTATTTTAACATTTAATCGTAAGGTTTGAGACCTTTGCTTTGCGATCAGCACCAGTTGTTCCAGAGCCGGTGTGAAGTTGACACGATTCTGTTTGCTTTGCGTTTCTCCCTGTTTCATGGCCAACAATCATCTTGCGCTTCGCACGATATACTGTAAAGTGGTGTGACTTACTTGCTGACTTAACAAGTACAGTGGAGCCTTGTTATAACATGGTAGCTGGGATCCAGAAAACCCTGTTGTTAAACTGAATCAGAGCTATGAAGAAGAGCATTATACTGGTCCTGCGCTGTATCTGTCTTCCTTTTAAACGTCCCAATTGATCGTGCTGGCATGATCCTCTGGGGCCACAGCGTTGCTGGGAAACGTGTGTTCCAACAATATTTTTTTTCATCAGCAGAAAAGCAATAAAACAAACATTCCCTCAAGGAATGCTTTCAATGTGTCCCACTGCCACCTTGGGTAATTCTACATTTCTTTCTGTGAAATTGGTTAAAAGCACAGCACCCGCTATTTTTAGTCACTTAATAGATTTCACTTGACTAAGTGAATTCGGTATCAAGTCTTGATCGAGAGGCAGTTTGCTTTGTAGATGCAGACTCAGTCTCTGCAGGTTGCCTGTAATTTAAGATGATCCGTCATACGCCGTGAATTTAATGAGAAAGCTCATTTCATAGGATTTAATAAACCAAAGCTGTTTGAGAAGGAACCCTGATTGAAAAAAGATCTCTTCAGGTCTATTTTGAAAGGATGATTCCCCCCCATTCTTGATCTAGTGCCTTTCACGTCGAGAGGACATCTCAAAATACACAGGATTAACTGTAAAGTGTAGTGACTGTGTAATCTGCATGGTTTGGTGTGAGAGACATGGGGACAGTAAAACATACAGAGGAAGTTTGCTGTTTACAAAATAGATCTTAAGGCAAGCTGAAAAGATGGGAGGCAGGGAGTCAGGAAGGGAGTGAGGGAGGGAAGGGGCGAGGTGGAGGTGGATGGACATTCATGCTGTTATAGGCGCTGTACCAAATGCATCTGTTATCTATTATTATAATTATTATTATTACCCAGTCAGCTCCCATAACAAGCTCATGTAATAACTTGAGAAATGTTGTAACAGGCTCATCCAGATGGAAGTATTGATGGCTTTGGTGAGCCCCGGATGAAGCAGGCAATGTTATAAGAAGAGAATGTTCAAGCTGTTAGATGGTTCTTACCAGCGCTGACTGTGATGGCCTCCATGAACTGATCCCGCCAGGAATGTGTCCCTACCACCAGTGCAAGGTTTGTCTTCTTTATCAGCTTATCCACTGTGCTCTGGGAGTAAAGGACAATGGAATGAGACTCGAAATAAAGACCTGCAAACATTCTCTTTATGGACCAATGCTTTATGTCTACAACAAGTCATGCTCAAGTGATATAGTGCTCGAGCACCTGGAGTACTGTATACAGTTCTTTCAGAAAATAATATGTTAGGATTCAGTATATGAGTAATTTGAAGCATGATAAATGTTGTATGTTTGGAAGAACCAGGCAACTTTGGATCTAAGGTTCCCAAAGCTTTCCACTGTGATGGTAGACTATCCATGAAGAATTAATTGATTTCAACATCTCCATCACTGTAGCACGCAACCACTTGGTTGATAGAAGGCAAACTAGATGGACCTTTTTTTGGTCTTTCTTTGTCTACGTTCCTAAATACAATGGGGGATGGAACCCAGACAAGGGAACGATTCTCCGCTACGACAAATGCCGGAATTAATTTCGAACTGAAACCGATTGATTCCTTACCTTGAATTCATAAGATTCTTCAATGATAACCTCCAACTTGGGATGCTCACCCAAGAGGGGTTTCCCCATCTCCGCAATGCGCTTGGCCTCTTCCTCTTCGACTGTGAGCTTCCTGTCAGTATCCTCTGCAAAACCAACAACAACAACAACAATAATCCTTACATCTGCTACGGCACCTTTCACGTCAAGAGGATGTCCCAAAGTGCTTCAAAGGAATACACTGCAGCCAATTTTGCGTGCACTCAGCCATGAAAGGAATGAGCAATTTTATTTGGGGGATTGTTGCCCAGGAAACCAGGAGAGAGAAACACCCTTCTCTTTTCAAATAGTGCCGTGGGGATCTTTAAAGTCTACCTGAACCGGCAGACGGACATCAATTTAATGCGTCATCCAAGGAACAGAGCCTCTTTCAATGCAGCAGCACTGCATTAGTGTCAGCCTCGACTGTATGTGTTTGAAGTCCTGAAGTGGGACTTGAACCCACGACCTTCTGACTCAGAGGTGAGAGTGAGCCAGGCTGACACCCCAGATCTCAGGTTGCTGTCACATACCTCTTTAGCAGTTACAGTGGTGGAGACTGGGGAATAAGCCCGAGCTATTGGGAGACCTAACAAAAAGATTTAAAAAAAAACCATAAAGAAACATAAAACTTTACAGCTTAGTATATCTGGTGTCAGGCAAGCCATGTTGAGACCAAGGTTGTTATGTTTCTATTGATTCTGGTACAAAAATCAAATGTTCGCATCAATTGCTTTAAGGAGCAGGTGGTAAGAGCCTAAAATATTCTGCTTTAAAGTTACAGCTTTGTCAGCCTCCGTGAAGCTTGCGTGTGTTTGAAATGTGCAAGTAAACATAAGGACTTGTGTCAGCCAAGCATTATCGAGTCGGCTAGAAGATGTTGACCTCAGCAACTTTTACAAGTCTCTTGACTCAGGAATAAAGAATGCAATCGAGCTAACTAATGCAAAACTAGTCCCAAACACTGTTCACAGCTGACGAGGCTGTGTTAGCTCAAGCTGACGATGCTATGCTGGCCTTGGGATAATGAAGAATTGTGCTGAACTGCACAGTATTCTTAATCACTTCACCTCATAAATATGGGGCTGATTATTGGCAGGAAATAACTGAGCCAGGGACATGGTGCAGTAAACTCCAGTTTCCTGCCTTGGTTCCTATTTGGAAAATTTGCCTTTAATTCCCACCGACTGACACTCCAGTGAAGTGTTGGAGGCATTGCTACATTGTCAGAGGTGTCGTTCTTCGGATGAGGCATTAAAGCTGAGGTCCTGTCGCCTTGTCCAGGTGGACATTCAAGATCCCCATGGCACTGTTCAAAAAAACTAGTCACTCACTTTGTGGCTGTTATGGGACATCGCTATGTGCTGTGTGCAATCTGACTGCCGCTTTGACCTATAAATACACAGTCACTACACTTCACAGAAACATTGTGGCGGGTTTTAAAGGTGTTTTTGACCATATAGGGGCTGCATCGAATGAAAGTACAATATATTCGGTGAAGCGTTTTGAGACATCTCAACGACGTGATGATGCTATATCAAATGCAAGGATTATTATTATTATAGTAAACATTTCATATGTGTAATATTTTCCTGGTATTCCTGGAAAATGACTTCAGATTGTCCGAAGGGCTATCTTCATCCGAACTAATCTTGTGATCTTTTGATCCTGCAGGTCCACTGATCAGGACTATATCCAACAACCCCATAACCTTCATGACACATAACATGAATACTTATGGCTAGCAGGCAGTGAATTGGCTGCTACATTTACCTATAAATAATCTCACATTTTCCAGGAATGACCTGTGAAGCACTTTGAGACAATTAAACATTAGAGCTGCTTTAACAAATGCAACAATTACTTATATTTTATCCAGAGCTCCAGATTAAAGTTATAATCTACTCAACCGAAGGACGCATCTGTTCCCTCCCAATCAGGAGTTATTTTCATCTCTATGTTATTATCATAACAGTATTATTTTTCAATACATCTACATCTGTTAATCCCTTGTGGAGTTATGGTTCTTTCAAGCTTCACATTTATCCCAGTTTGGGAGCCAAAATGCTGTATCAGACGCGGGTTGGCTAGGGTGAGGCATGGGAGCCCTCTGTTCCAGCAAAACAGGTTCAATGAGCTGAATGGACTATTCCGCTCCTGTGCTCTTAGGGTATTGTCATTTGGAAATCAAGCTGGAAATTGGCAATATTCTGATGTGTGAGAGGCAGCGTAAACAGGACATTGCTGGAACCGGAGAGCAGGTTTATTGTAATAATCTGGAAGAGGCACTAGCTAAATAATGTCAATATTAACTAACTCCCAGTAATTTAATATTCTCATCATAAATATTTCATTCTTCCTCTATTTATTCAGGATCTTCTCTTGCTAATCTTGAGAGCATTTCTCTACATCTACTCTACACCTAGGGCTATTCAGTACAGGCTTATTGCATATTCCATCATATTCCTCTGTAGCAGATTGTTGAAGAAAACCCCAGGTCATTTCTGATTAGTGATAAGGAGGGAGGTAACTATTTTGTTGTAGAATGACAATGGAAGGCAAATGGCACCGGTGGAAACAGGGGCACTATGTGTGTTAGCACACTGACCTGGGCTCATCAAATCTGGGTGTGAGAATGAGAACACCAAAACAGCCCTTAAAGTCTGGTATGAAATTCCTAAGCTTATACAAGCACACAATCCATCCTTTGGATGAGACGATACACCAAGGTCCCATCTACCTCTTCAGGCGGAGCTTAAAGAGGTTAATTGTCCTCACTGGTCACTTCACCCTTTGTGTTATATCCTCTACAGTAATTGCCTATCAATATACAGTCGCTACATTTTACAGTAAATCTTGTGAAGCGCTTTGAGATGTCTCGACAACGTGAGACTTATTTTGAAGGTCCGTTTAAGTCTTTGACTGCATTTTTGGTCATCTTTCCTCTCCCCACTCTTTTAGACTACCACCCCCAACTCGGATGCCCGTTCAGTAAGTATGAAGCATTTTGAGACGTCCTCCCGACATGAAAGGTGAGGTGTAAATGTAAATTGTGTTGCATTATATGGTTTCTCCCTGTTTACCACAAGAGGTCACTGCTCCATCTTGATCACTGTGCACAGACCATTATCCACGAGCAGCCAATTACCCATCTGTGCCATGTAAATGTAGCAAAATATCCTTTAAGGCACATTACGATGAAACCTCCTTTTAAAACAAGACTCAGGACGTTGAAATGGAACCCACCAACCCCATACCCGACCCCAGCCTGTCAAAACACACTCATGTCATAAAAACTGTTGCTCACATAGGTCCTCATAGTTAAAATACTGCTGATCGGAGATTCAAGTGGGTAGTCAATTATCTGTTACTCTCGCTCAAATAATAATAATAATTTGGTCACTCAATCCATGACTGTTTGTGGGACCCTGCTGTGAGCAATTGGCTGCCGCGTTTTGCCCCCAAAATATAGCCCATTCAGCTTACAGTATAATCTGTGAAGCGCTTTGAGACGTCTCAATGACGTGCTGAGCAGCTGTATGAAATGCAAAGCCTATTATCCTTATATTCTAACCTGCGAGCAATTCTCTTCATCTCGATACCCCATGGCATCAAATTACAATAACAATTCCCTCAACAGCCCGCGACTGCACAGCCAAGCTGACGTTTTAAGTGATGCAGTCCTCACAGTTAATGTGCTTGCCATGCAAATGCTCGCCCGTGCTCAGATTGGCGCTGTGTCTTTCGCTGCCCAGCAGGGGGCAGGGACAATTACTTCAGAAACTAACAAGCACTAATCGGCAAAAGCACCTCGGTTTCGCTTTAATGAAGGGCTGCCTTGATGCAGTCGCTGTTTGATCTGGTTCGCTGGCATGCATGTTAAAAAGCTGTGTGGCGTATCAGCAGGCTGCTTGTTTTTCTCCGTTTCACGCTGTAATAATTAGCATGCTTGTGTAGAAAATAAGGGAGTTTTTGCTATTAGCATTTAACGTGCGCTGGAATTTGAGCCTACGGTACGTTAGCCTTTCAGGCCATTGTTAGCATTTACGTTACAAGTGCCAAAACTCCAGCATAGCAGCTGGTCCTCCGCTCATCTGACTCGGATCTGTTCCCCACCTACCCCCACCCTCCCACGATTATTGGTGGCCGAGCTTTCAGCTACTCACCCCTAATCTCTGCCTATCTTCGAATCCTGTCTTAAAACCTACCTTTCCAACCTTTCCTATAGATACCTCCTGTTCCACCCCCTCTCCCATGCATGGCATCCGACCTCATCACTGTTAAGCGATCTGAGTTGTTTTCTTACATGAAGGAAGCTGTTGTGTAAGTTCAGACACAAGTGAACATGATCGGTAAATATACCGATGATCAGAATTTGTATAGTCACAGATAGCTTGCAACACAAAAGAAGGTTATTTTGGTCCAGCCCATTAATGCTTCCATTTGGTTTAGTGCCTTTCACGTCGGGAGTACTTCACAGGATATACTGTAACGTGTTTTGGGGGCGAATGCGGTAGCAATTTGTGCACAGTATTGTCACACAAACAGCCATGAAGTCATGAATGACCAATTTTTTTTAATATTTGTATTGTGTCTGTGTTGGTGTTCATTCCTCCACAAGAGACATCTACCTAATTCCATTCCTCTGTTCTTTCCCCATGCCCTTTAATATTATTTATAGATTAATAATAATAACCTTTGCATTTGATATAGCCTTATCAAATCTTTGAGACATCTCAAAGCACTTCACAGAATATACTGTAAAGTGAAGTGACTGTACATTTTTNGTGCGAAACACAGCAGCCAATTGCGCACAACGGTGTCCCACAAACAGTTGTGGATTGAAGTGACCAATTTTTTTTCTAGCCATCTCGTGACTCGTGTGGACTAAGCTCTGACCTGGAATCAAACCCAGGTCCTCTCCCTTGCGAGGCAAGCGACCTAACCACTATGCTTCACAACTCCATTTTGTTCAGAACTCCAGGACTCCATTACAGAAATGCCAACATTAATACAAACCAGTTTAACTTCACAAATCAACCCAGATGGAATTTCATGCCCCCCCTCCCCACCCCAACAAATAAATCATTTTAAGTCTCACCTCTTC